GGCCAGAAAGCAATAAGCAGATGAAAACTTTATTGAAACAAGCATATAGATGTCTAAGGATATAAAGCCCTCAATTCAAATACTATTTACTAAATACCTGCAAGGTGTTCCATCTTGTGTGGCAGGCATTGAGTATTTTAAACAAAACAAAACAAAACTGGGTGTCAGTAGCTCATGCCCATCATCCTAGCTACTCAGGAGGCTGAGATATGAGATTCTTGGTTCAAAGCCAGCCTGGGCAGGAAAGTCTGTAAGACTCTTATCTCCAATAAACCACTCAGAAAACCGGAAGTGGTGCTGTGTTCAATTGGTAGAGCGCTCACCTTGAGCTGAAGAGCAGAGGGATAAAACCCAGGCCCAGAGTGCAAGCCCTAAGACCAAACCAAAAAAAGAAAAAAAAGTACTAAGGACTCTCAGATAGATCTGGGAAGATCCTTCTCATCTCATCGTATGTGGGGTTGATAGCTATAGCTCATCCAGAAGTATCAAGTTGGTCTCCAGGGATTGAAACTAGAGAACTTTGGTCATTTTTCTTTTGAAGATATTGGCTAACCGCATGAAATCTGCATTTTAATAATATTTTGAATGGGTTGATTAAATAGGAACAGATGGTTAAAGTTTGCCATTTTAGGGAAAAAATAATGAAATATCACATTGCTTAATCTGTCTCTCTCTCATGCTCTTCCCAATCCCCTCCCTACAGCATAGATGCTCAAATGCGATGACACTGAAAGCCAACTACTAATAATATTAATTAGTCATTTCAGGTCTCTTCACCTAAGAGGACCCTAGGTTTGTCAGCCACCTCTGTATGTCTGGGTTAGTCTCTATCCCAATGTGGCCTTCTTACAAGGTGTTGGTTGGGATGAAGTGAGGGAATATAAAAAGTAGATGGGTGCTGGGTGCTGGTGGCTCACACCTGTCATCCTAGCTACTCAGGAGGCTGAGATCTCAGGATCACGGTTCAAAGCCAGCCCAGGCAGAAAAGTCCATGAGACTCTTATCTCCAGTAAACTACTCAGAAAACCGAAAGTTGCACTATGGCTCATGTGGTAGAGTGCTAGCCTTGAACTGCAGAAATGAGGGACAGCACCCAGGCCCAGAGTTTAAGTTCGATGACTGACCAAAAAAAAAGTAGATGGGGAAATGAGACTAATTGGGGCATTTCCCTGCCATGAAAAAATGGTAGTCTGTGCAAGTGCTAAACAGATACCATCCGCTCCTTGGTATTCTGTGCTATCCAGCTGCCCCTAGGCAGGTTTGGTTACTGGCACTTCTAGCACAAGAGAAGGCAGAGAATGTGTGTGTGTGTGTGTGTGTGTGTGCATGCCAATACTGGGGCTTGTACTCAGGATCTGAGCACTGTCCCTTAGTTTTTATGTTTACACGGCACTCTACCACTTGAGTCACACCTCCACTTCTGGCTTTTTTAGTGATTCATTGGAAATAAGGATTTCATGGACTTCCTCCGGCTAGCTTTTAACCGTGATTCTCAGATCTCTGCCTTCTAAGTAGCTAGAATCACTGGGTCGAGACACCAGCATTCAGTGGAGGCAGAGTATTAAGTGCTATGGGTACTTTTACTTGTATCCATCTCTCTATCAAAGGCCTTTCTGTGAAGTTTTTTTTTTTTGGGGGGGTGGTGGTCATGGGGCTTGAACCCTGGGCCTAGGCACTGTCCCTCAGCTCTTCAGCTCAAGGTGAGCGCTCTACCATTGGATTGATCGCTAGGACAGGGAAGCAATGCCATTTCGGTGTTGCTGCCCAGAAACTCTTGGGAGAATGAGCATTGCTTGCTACTCACCCACTGCCAATTCACTACCAACTTCAGTAGCGAGAGTCTCCAGAATGCTCCGTGGATAAACATCATCTCTGTGGCCACACATTGTTTTATGAGCTGAGTCATCAGCCCGGCTGGCTCCTTCAACACTGCCATCTGATCCTCCAGGCTTCAGAAAACAAGAAGAGATGAAGAGGAAGGGAAACTCCTCAAGTTTTTTGTTTTTGTTTTTGGTAGTCCTGGGGCTTGAACTCTGGGCCTGGGTACTATCCCTCAGCTCTTCAGCTCAAGGCGAGTGCTCTACTGCTTGAGCCACAGCATCACTTCCAGTTTTCTAGTGATTTATTGGAGATCAGAGTCTCATGGACTTTCCTGCCTGGGCTGGCTTTGAACCGCGATCCTCAGATCTCAGCCTCCTGAGTAGCTAGGACTACAGGTGTGAGCCATCGATGCTCAACTGTCTGTATTTCTTTCTTTCCCTTTTTTTTTTTTTGGTGCGGGGGGGAGTTTGGTCGTGGGGCTTGAACTCTGGGCCTGGGTGCTGTCCCTCAGCTCTTCAGCTCAAGGCTAGCGCTCTACCACTTG